TCTGGGGCCGTTACACATATCATGATCTCATATTTAATTAACCAGAACAACAACTTTCTATTTTTTTGTCAGCCTACTAATATCTATGGGGGTTCATAGGGATATTCTCACAACGCGTGAACCTTTATTCAACATTTTTAATTAACAGGCTGTCCCCATACCTCGTCCGGTATGAGTGCCAAATTACAAAACCTCAATACCCCATTTGGTATGAGGGTGAAACGGGCCGTCCCTATACCTTGTTCGGTATGAGTGCCAAATTACTAAATCTCGATACCCTGTCCGGTATGAAGCAACATTCACGGTAGGGTTCCATATGCACCCAGTCTGTCCACCATCTCCTAGGATATCCAGTAAGACTATCATTTCATCCATTCACTTAATCACACAGTTTCTCGTTTACCTTTAATCTTTGGTTTTTCCAATTCAAACGTAATCACATAAAACAATAATACATGCATTCAAAACTATAAAATCAATCAACAAATATTATCATGCATCCAAACTATAAACTAATTCAACAGAAATCAATAGTGAATAATTTCTTGTTCTACCTCCATTAGTAACCCATAATTAATTATGCATATTTTCTAAATTGCACAAAATACTCTATTATTGTTAATTTAACTTCAATTTCATAACAGAGAATAGGGTGAGGGATTCTCACTCAATTTGATGTCCGAAAAATGAAACTTGTTGACTGCGCCTACTGGCGATCCCCAGATTCCCTAATTTTTTTTTCGGGAATTAAAACACACTACAAGTACCTATAAATATCTCAAAAAATTCAAAAATAGTGTCAAGACTCTTTTTTGGCCAATTTCAGAATTTTGGCACAGCGGCTCCACCATGCTCCGATGACGGTGTCGCTGCCCGCGGCAGCAGTACGCCTCGGGTTGACTATTTTCAATTGTTTTTGACCAAATTCGCTCCGTTTTTGCATTATTCCCTGTGAGAAAATACGTTAAGGGGCCTCGGTTGGTCCCAAAAAACAAAAAATCAAAACTCACGAGCAACGGGGCTCTCCGGTGCAGTGGCTTCGCCAGCTCACTTTTGCAGTTGGGTGTTTCACTCTAATCAACATATAAAGAAGGAAACAGTTATTACAATAGTGGAAAAATTTCGCAGAACGGGAATCGGGGAAGGGCCTCATCAGAGGCATTTTTTTAAAATTTCCCGTGACAGGGTCGCTAGGCTTTTTCCGTGGTTTTCAGCCAATCCACCGATCTTTTGGCTCCGATTTGGCCATTAAGGTGTTTAAAATTTAATTCCGAGTAAAGAAATTTTTTTTTACCTCTTTTGGTGGTTGGAAGTGGCTCTGGTGTGGCGGCGGTGGCAGTTCTCTTTCCTAGTGGCTGGGTCTTCTTCTCCGGTGAGGGTGTCTGGCGGCTAGGGTTAGGGTTTAGTGTGAAGAGAGTTATTTATACCCATCATTTTTAATATAGGTTGTCCATCGCGTTTGATCTGAACCGTCCGATCACGATTAAATAAGAAGTAAATATGGACTGTTGATCGCGTTTAAATTTGGTCGTCTGATCGCGTATGGGGAGTGCACGCATCTAGGCCGTTCATGCGTGCGAGAACGGATCTGGGCCATCCAATCGCGGGCATGCGAATCACCCGCGTGGCCTCCCACGTGGCACCACGTCAGCGTCTGTTGCCATGCAGCCCGTTTTGGTTTGTCGGAGCTGCTAACCGGGCATCCTATATGGCACAACCTTCTTAAATTGTATTTTGACCCTCAGTCTTCGATTTTTCTTTCAAAAATACTCATAGAATCTAAATTTTCACCTCTTTTTTCCCAAAATTGTTTTCAATTTTATCATTTTTTGAATTTTCTTCATTTTTACACTAAATTAAAATTAAAAGATTTAAAAAATTACATTTATAAATTAATTTAAATTACACAAAAAATTAATTTGGGTATTACAGAATGTTTTAATTTGTCATTTGCTTGTTGCTTGATTGTTGAATGAAGATTGTGTATTTTAAATACTGTATGATGGTTGATGGTATGATGAGTGTGATACTCTGAGTAGACTATTAATAATAGTGCATACTCACCAATAAAATCATGAACACATAAAATGACTCTCACGAATAAAATAAGATCAACAAAAAAAAT